TGGATACGGGGAGCAACGACTACTAGATTTTTTAGATTTTTATTTTATTTTTTGCATAAAAAAAAAGGCTTTCATAGGTCAGCCTGATGGGTGGGTGTGGAAAAACCTACAAACATTGTCGATTCTCAGTGGCCTTTAGTTCCGAACGATAATCTATCTGCCTGTGAAAACTTATTTAGAGCGCCTAACGATTTGTAATTTAGTAGTGAAGAAAATCATCTCACCTAACCCTTAACTTTTGAAAAATAACATAGTACAACCTTATACCCTCCGTCCCATAATAAGAGATTTTAGTTGGATGTGACACATCCTATAGTTTAATGAGGCCGAGTTTAGTTCTCAATTTTTTCTTCAAACTTCCAACTTTTCTATCACATCAAAACTTTCCTACATACATAAACTTCTAACTTTTTCATCGCATCGTTCCAATTTCAATCAAACTTCCAATTTTAGCGTGAACTATGAAAGCAAGCATTGGTGCGAAACTTCCAAATGAAAGCAAGCATTGGTGCGAAACTTCCAAATTTCAATCAATCTTAATTTTCGAAGCAAGCATAAATTTGAAATTTCGCACCAATGCTTATTATGTGTGGACGTACGCGTACGTGCTTAATTATGCGCACAATTCATCTTAATATAGTACACACCGTGGATGCATGCATGCTACCCTCGTGTCTTTGTTTTTTTTTTTCGAAACATAGTACCGACTGATATACACTCACTTGTATGAAAGCATACACCCGCACTTCCGGTGCAAAAGAAGCTTTTGGTCAACTTTTTATCTAGCATTCTTCAAAGTTATTTTCCTATAATCAATATCTATATCTATATCTATATCTATATCTATATATCTATTACTATTATAATAATTAAAGATGTTTCTATCCGCGGTCCGTCATCCGTGTTTGAGTCGATTATAAAAATTGAAGATGTTTTCGCGGTTAGTCATTTGTGTTTGAGTCGGTTTTTAAGATCGTTCACTTTTGGTAATACAGAAGGAATCATACAAGAAATATGTTTTAAAAAAACTCGTATGCTAACTTGAGACGATCGGACTCCTAACTACAGCTCATGATTTTCTAAAAATATATATATCCAAGCAAACTCCCACAGTGAATTTCATCTTAACTAAACCATATAACAAGATTAAAATAGACTTCACCCATTGCAACACACGGGCATTTTTTTCTAGTTTATTATATTTTTATCTATCAATTGTGCCTATTCTTGTTAATGAAGTAAGGAGCCAAGCCAAAGCGCAAATAACTTTCGTTTACAATTGAATATTTTTTTAAAAGAAAAAGATCAAATCATGGCGAGCAATTTTGAACCGAGCCACCGAGGTAGCTAATCGAGTTTTTTCAGCCCTACCCACGTCTATATCTTCTGACCGATGAAGTCATGATGAGTATCTTGTTGTTGGCTTCTACTATAGAATAATTAACCGTACATATAAGTATCCATCTCAAGTTTAGGACATGAGCCAGGATGGATAGATTCCACCGCAAGAAACCTAACTAGGTGAAGGTGAAGTACACCAATTCGCTTAATTAAATAGTTTTTTTAGAATGCATGGATTCTAATTACAAATATTGTCAAAACTAAGAACAAAAATGCATAATTACAAATTAATGCAGCCTCAAAGTTAAAGAGTATTCACTCGTTCTAAACTATAGGAGGTTTTAGTTTTGTGTAAGTGAAATTTCTCTAATTTTAACTAGGTTATAGAAAAATATATTAACAATTGTGATACCAATAAATAAGCTATCAAGGCACATATTTCAATATTTATTTTAATGAAACTAATTTGGTGTTTAATGTATTGGTGTGCTTTTATATTTGAAGTTAGATAAGTTTGATTTACGATAAAACTAAAATCTCTCTGTTTTTAAATGGAGGGAGTATATACCATGTATGATTTACTTATGAGAAATGCCAGAAAATCTCATGTACTCCCTCCGTACTCGTAGAGGAAGTCGTTTTGTACAGCGACACGGTCTCCAAAACACAACTTTGACTTCTTATTTCTATAAAAAATATTTATTAAAAAGTGATATATGTATACTTTTATGAAAGTATTTTCCAAGACAAATCTATTCATATAATTTTTACATTTTCAAACTCAACAACTTGAGAATTATTTATGATTTATATTCTCAAAGTTTAACTTAAACATTTTCTTAAACGATTTACTTTTACGAGTACGGAGGGAGTATATAGTATACATGTGAATATATGATTTAAATTTAACAATCGGACGGCATTTATTTCACCGTAATAGGAGCCGAGCTATTTATTTCACAATTAAATTAGACCAATCAAGATTCAAAAATAAAAACTAAACCAATTAAGGCATGGCCATACCAGTTTGTTGGATCGCCATAAAGCACTCGCATTTACTGGGAGACGTTGAAAGTTAATGTGCCGATCGACGATTTATTGCAACTTTTAACTTGGCGACAAGAGGATTCACAGAGCCATGGCCGTGCATTATTTGTCCAACACAAAAGCTCGTTTTTTTTTTCATTGGCCATGCTTTTTCTGCCGTACGATCATATCCTTCTGGGTATCTCAACACTCTTCAATCCCATCTTGAAAATTAATTAGAATGGCAAAAAATTGTCGGAGATCGACGAAAATTTATCTGGTACACTCCACTAGTGTGAATGATCGATGAGTTTTTTTTTTTCGATTACACTGCAGACGCACACGCACAAACACCACTATACACGCAACATCCACACTCACACACCCACGAATGCGTCTTTTAGCACACTCTCAAAGAGACTGAAATCAGCACATCCATGATTTTACTAAAATTCCGTTAAAAGCACACCTGCATATGTACAATATTCGTGGGTACTAGGATTTGAATCCTAGCGGTTGGAGTCATGTACCCACGATTCCACCCCTACATCGCTAATGTTTTTCCCGATGAGTGATGCACCGGTGCTCTCTACCGGTACCATTCGTTATTAAGGGTATATCGGTAATTTACTAGTATAATGATGATTGGTAACTTTGCCATTTAGGTTTTTCCCTGCCCAGATCGATATGTGGTCATCCATTGTGTTGGCATCGCTCATATTCTACCAAAAAGCCAAAAAAGAAAGAAGGAAAAAAAGTTTAGTTACTGCTAATTGAGGATTATATTCATTCGCACTTTTTCTTTACAATGATGCCCCTCTACGTTTCCACTGCTGCTAACTAGAATGATAGTATAAATAGATCTGAATCTTTTGATTAAATGTGATCAATGGTTCATTTATGGGGGAGCATCGCAGTAGGACTCTTCCCCAATCGATGAGTCTATTTGTCATGACTTTCATGCATAGCTGACAATATTGTAGTTTTTGGTCATGGATTATTTATCGTTGCCTTCTGTTTCTTGAGCCTACTTTGAAAGGGTGTACTGTATTATTAAAGGAGAGAAATTTTATAGTTATTGAGAAAGTACCTGGAGGTACCAAGATTTTATACTAAAATTTTGGTACCTCAAGATACTTACTACCTAGAGGTACCAAATTTTATACTAGAAATAAAAAATATAGTACCTCCCGGTACCTTCTCAAGAATGGTAAAATTATCCATTAAAGAATATATGCATGCAATGTAGGCACAAATCTATTGTCGTGGGTGTACATGTGTATTTTTTGAAAAGAAAATAATTTACTCTCTCTGTTCCAAAAATATAAAGATTTATAAGTTGTTTAGCCAATATTAAGGTTAGCTCGAGAGATTCCATTTTAGTCACTTCAGATATTAATCATAAATTTTATATTGTTCATATTTCCTTTCCAAGCATCATTGAAAATAATGGGAACCATGGAAATCATTACAATAATCCTCTTAAACTATGGTATAAAATTTGGATCAGAAAAAACCTTATACTTGGATGGGGGAGTAATAGTTTTCTTTATATTTTTATAGAAAAAAAGTTATATATAGTTTGGGAATTTACTCAACTATTCAGTACTATGGGGATGTTTAGATCCATGATGGCATGATGTGTGTAAAGTTTTAGCGTGTTACGTCAGATATACGGACACATATTTAAAGTATTAAACGTAGACTAAGGTGGTGTTTGGATCCAGGGACTTAACTTTAGTCTCTGTATTTAGACACTAATTTAGAGTATTAAATATAGACTACTTACAAAACTAATTACATAAATGAAAGCTAATTTGTGAGACAATTTTTTTAAGCCTAATTAATCCATAATTAGAGAATGTTTACTGTAGCATCACATAGGCTAATCATGGATTAATTAGTCTCAATAGATTCGTCTCGCGAATTAGTCCAAGATTATGGATGGGTTTTATTAATAGTCTACGTTTAATATTTATAATTAGTGTCCAAACATCCGATGTGATAGGGACTTAAAAGTTTTAGCCCCATCTAAACAGGGTCTAATAATAAAACAAATTACAGATTCCGACTGTAAACTGTGAGACAAATTTATTAAGCCTAATTAATCTGTCATTAGCAAATGTTTACTGTAGCACCACATTGTCAAATTAATCATGGAGCAATTGGGCTTAAAAGGTTCGTCTCACAATTTACACGTAATTTATGTAATTAGTTATTTTTTCGTTTATATTTAATACTCTATAAATATGTCAAACATTCAATATGACATGATGAAAATTTTGCCAGGGGATTCCCGGGCTTGTCGATTAGCCATACTTTCTGACGGTCTTCCATCAACTGTGCCTCCAGTAAAACATTTGTGAAGAGTTTCACTTGATTGTCGACTCTGCCACTGGTGGGTAGGTGGGCTTTGAATCCCAATTTTGTTACTCCCTTCGGCCTCTCATTGGACCAACAGATAATCCTCTTTTTTGACACGCCAAACAAACCAAACAGATACTAATCAATTAATCCCTGATCACGATTAAATTAAATGGATAATCACCAGCAGTTAACGGAGCACACCAACAACCAGGAGATTAAAGTGGGCTCGGTCAATCCAAACGGCTTGGAAAGTGATTACTATCCGCAGTAGCAGCATCAGCTGCTGCCATGGAAGGAGAGAGAAAGAGAGAGAGATCTTAGCTTGCTTGGCGCCAATAAATAGGAGCCCGGGTCATCGGCGAATCCATTGCCATTGCAGTTGTATCCTTCTTCTTCTTCTTCTTTCTCTACTCACCTGCATCTGTAGAGAGAGAGAGAGAGAGAGAGAGAGAGAGAGAGAGATGGCAGGAGGTGACAACAACTCCCAGACCACCAATGGCGGCTCAGGTCACGAGCAGAGAGCCATGGAGGAAGGCAGGAAGCAGGAGGAGTTCGCCGCCGACGGCCAGGGCTGCGGCCTCGCCTTCTCCGTCCCTTTCATCCAGAAGGTGATCATCATTTCATGTCTTCTTCTTCCTCCTGATCTTGAGAGTTCTTGATCTTGACAATGGCGGGCGCGCGCATTGATCGATCATGGTGTAGATCATCGCGGAGATCTTTGGGACATACTTCTTGATCTTCGCGGGGTGCGGGGCGGTGACGATCAACCAGAGCAAGAACGGGCAGATCACGTTCCCGGGGGTGGCGATCGTGTGGGGGCTGGCGGTGATGGTGATGGTGTACGCCGTGGGGCACATCTCCGGCGCGCACTTCAACCCCGCGGTGACGCTGGCGTTCGCGACGTGCCGGAGGTTCCCTTGGCGGCAGGTGCCGGCGTACGCGGCGGCGCAGATGCTGGGCGCCACCCTCGCCGCCGGCACGCTCCGGCTCATGTTCGGCGGCCGCCACGAGCACTTCCCCGGCACGCTCCCCGCCGGCTCCGACGTGCAGTCGCTCGTCCTCGAGTTCATCATCACCTTCTACCTCATGTTCGTCATCTCCGGCGTCGCCACCGACAACCGAGCCGTAAGCTACCTAGCACGATTTTAATTCATTTAATTTAATTGCTCCCTCCGCTAATTAATTATCTAGTTTAATTAGTTTCTATATATCTGTAATTTGATTGCTCCACTAATTAGGATCGATTTGATCCTGATTAATCTGAAAGTTTTGAAGTGATAATTCTGTTGACCATATGCATGGATGCAGATCGGGGAGCTGGCAGGGCTGGCCGTTGGTGCAACCATCCTGCTTAACGTGCTGATTGCTGGGTACGTTTTAATTTTTCTTTCTTTCACGCATCATCTCTCTCATGATGATAATTAATTAATTACTCTTCACAATGGAAAGTATTTCAAAGAGGATCTAGAGGCTGAAAATGTGTTGGTATCGATCCACTTCTTTCCATGCCCATGAAACATATAGGGTGTGTTTAGTTCATATCAAAATTAGAAGTTTAGTTGAAATTGGAACGATGTGACGGAAAAGTTGGAAGTTTGTGTGAGTAGAAAAGTTTTAATGTGATGGAAAAGTTGAAAGTTTGTAGAAAAAGTTAGAAACTAAACCAAACCAGGCCATAGTAGTAGTAGTAGTATATAATTTCCAGTCAAAATTAAGAAAACAATGGGTCAGATTCAGAGTTCAGACTAGATCAGATGTATGCGTCCTTTTCGGTAGGGAGAGTGCGTTTTGAAGGAGCCAAAGCCAACCAATAAATTCGGTCATGTGGAGCGCAGGGCTTTGAGTGTGCTGCGGTTGGTGCAGTGAAGATCGGCCATGCACTGCACTGCAACCAAGCATTAATGTCAACTTAATTACTCCTCCTACCTCCGGCCGCCTAGCTTGTAAATTCACACTCTCCACTCCACTTCACTCCTCACCCATGGTGCCTGCCTCTCAATAACTCACCGTTTGATACAGGCCCTATTTAGATTCTACCTTTTCTCTTCAAACTTTTAACTTTTTCGTCGCATCGTTCTAATTTTTTCAAACCTTCAATTTTAACGTGTAACTAAACACAACCATAGTTGTGACATGATACTATGGACCCCGTTTGATACAGCTCGTACTCGCGAAATTAATCCAGGGTTATGGAATAGGTTTTGTTATTAGTCTACGTTTAATACTTCTAATTAGTGTCCAAACATGTGATGTGAAAGGAACTAAAAAATTTTAGTCCCATCCAAACAGCCCGTAAGATTTTTATCCCGTGAAGTTGGAATTGTACCGAACACTCGGGTCTACGACTTAAACCTTATGAATTTGTAGATTTTTGTTACACGGTTCTCAAACTACAATTTCTTCTTTTCACAATTTCACTAAGGCTTAGATAACTTGTTCTTATCTATTTTTTTTCAATTAATGTATAAATAATGTTTAGTCAATTCTTATAAACAAATGTCCATAATTGAGATTAATTAGAGTCCGTAAAAAAAGCTGAAACAGAGTTTTTGTGTTTTGTTGAAGAAAATTCATTTGTACCCTTTTACCTACCTTTAACCAGCATCATTTTATATTGGACAATAATGATCAACAAGCCCTAATAAAGATTTGGGATGAGAGATTCAGAGATTCAGATAATTCTTTTTCAAAAAAAAAAATCAGAGATTGATGACATGTGCATTTTCTGTTCAGGCCGATCTCGGGAGCATCGATGAACCCGGCTCGGAGCCTGGGGCCGGCGATGATCGGCGGCGAGTACAGGTCGATCTGGGTGTACATCGTCGGGCCGGTCGCCGGCGCGGTGGCCGGAGCTTGGGCCTACAACATCATCCGCTTCACCAACAAGCCCCTCCGGGAGATCACCAAGAGCGGCTCCTTCCTCAAGAGCATGAACCGGATGAACTCCTCCACCTAACCTCTATCTAGCTAACCACCAAGAACCCTAATTAATTACTACTGCCAGTACTACTACTGCTACTTTCTGTTCGAGATCGATATCGAGATGCTTGATCGATGCACCGCATCGCATTTAAAAGGGAAGAGATGGATGAACTACTATTTGTGACGTACACATATATAGTAGTAATTTAATTAGCGTTAGTTCGTTGTCGTCTCGGCTACGTGCCACAAGGCCTCCTTTGTAACGCAGGAATTTTATAGGAATTCTGTGATGTGTGTTTTTAGATGTGGGGATTCCTATAAAATTCGTGTGGAACTTCTCTGCCTCCTATATATGTAGAACTTAAAAAATCTATGTATATGTGTGTGTGGAATAGTATGTTTTGGACCACGTGATAAAATTGCAGAGTGTTTCCTTGCAGATTATGGTTTTCTTTTAAATAGGTGAGTATGATAAGTTCCCCCCTCTATCCATGCTTATGAAGTTCAGTATTTCGACATCTAAATTATCAAGAAAAAAAAGGACATGTTTGAAATAAGAAGGGAACTTAATTTTGTTTGAAATAGGGAATGAGCTTAATTTGGCCATGTACATAGCAAGTGACAAAAGACATGTGTCTTCCATGTAATCGAGGAGAAAAAATAGTACCAATGAAATGGAACCATGGTCAACCGGTGTGCTTGGAAAAAAAGCGTACCGGAATTACTTATAAAATGAGCCTTTTGCTAGCATTTCTGCATTTGGCTTTGATGTGGTGTCTTTTCTTGGACTAGGAGCAGTAGCATTTCGAAGAAATCTATGATATGTGGTAGCAATAGTTGAAAGATGTTAAAATTGATTAGATCTTGCATGGTCTTTGACAGTATATATTCTCACGGATTCATGGTGCTTAAATAGAAACCCGTGTAGAAAGGTAGAAAATCAAGCAGTGCTGCTGAATGTTTCACATCTCCGATTTTGGTTTCATAAGATCAATTTCAGGTTCAGTGAGTTTGGATGGGCTTTAATTTGTGTTAGGCTCTTGTTTGGATGGGCGTGGATGGACCAAGGCTAAGACCCATCCAGTGATCCAGAGAGACTTTAGGGAGCCCAAATCCAGGCCCAATCCCCACCAAAATGAACTTCCAATGAACAAAACATGACTTCTTTTTGGAAAAAGTACACCCAAGGTCCCTCAACTTGTCATCGAGTTACAATATCGGTCCTCGAACCACAAAACCGGATATAACGCATCCCTCAACTTACAAAACCAGTGTAAACTAGGTCCCAAGACGGTTTTGAGTCCGGTTTTATCCCATGTGGCAGCTGACTCAGCGTGGAACCCACGTGGGCCCCATGCGTCAGCCTCTTCTTCCCTCCCCTCTCCACCTCTCTTCCTCTCTCCTCTCTTTTCCAATCTCCACGGGCGGCGCGCGGGGAGTAGCTGCACGGGCGGCGGCCGGCGGGCGCAGGCGGCGTGGGGAGGAGCCGCGCGCGGGCGGCAGGCGGCAGGCGGCGGGCGGCGGTGCACGAGCTCCTCGCCGGACGAACGCTAGACCGGCTCCGCCACGTCGGCCGCGAGGAGGTGGCGCGCCTCGTCGGCTCGCTCAGTCGGAGTGCCGCCAACGGCGAGCACGTCGACGCCGACGCCGCGCTGATGGGCCTCACCAGCGACATCGTCTCTCGCATGGTGAATTGGTGATGGGCCGGCCGCCGGCGACGACAATGACACGGAGGAGATGTGGAGCGTGGTCGCCGAGACGGCGGAGCTCACCAGCACGTTAAACCTGCAGTGCGAGGTCATCATAATACTTGTTGTAGCCGTTGAGCAGCCGGGCGAGGTCGTCGTAGTGGTAGGCGCCGCCCTGGTCAATGAAGAAGTCAATGCCGTCCACCGCCGCGTCGTCGCCGAAGGGGCGGTGCACGCCGGCGCGGTGGCCGCCTAGGTAGGCGTTCCAGATCAGGTTGTCGGCGACGTCGGCGGCGGAGGCGTTGGTGGGGAGGGAGTAGCCGCCGCCCTGGCCGCCGATGGAGAGGAGCACGGTGATGCCCCTGGACTGGCAGTGCTTGATCAATGTCGGCACCGACGGCGGCAAGCGGGTGGCCGGATATGTCGAGCGAGTAGCGGCCGTAGCCGAAGACGTTGTAGAAGGTGATGATGACGGTGGTGTAGTGGCCGGTGTCGCAGGCCTTTCTCAGGGAGCCTTCCTCCTTGTGGCGGCCCCAGTAGACGACGAGGCCCGGGTCGTCGGCCGTCGCTGGCGGCGGCGTAGCGAGGAGCAGCTCCTGCTAAGGGGAGGAGTGCATGCACGAGGCCCATGTGTAAGTTGCTGTATGCTAGCTAGGTTGATGGTTTTGCCATGTATTTATAGAGAGATTTGCAGGTGAAGCTTCATGTCCTCTTGTGGTGTTCGTGCGTGATGTGCATGCGTACAAGTTTAATGGATTGATTCGTCCACGTGGATTGAAGCTTTTGAGATGTGAGCATTTGACTCTATGATCGGCGGCTAGTTCGTCGGTGCTGCTCGATCGATCATATCTCGATCCAGTGCTTAATCGTGTCAATCTTGTTGATAGGGCTTGAAGGAGAACAGCAAGATGGCAATGATCTCAAATTCTCAGGTCATTTGCGTTAACGTCGGCGGCGGCACTCCGGCTGAGCGAGCCGACGAGGCGCGCCACCTCCTCGCGGCCGACATGGCGGAGCCGGTCTAGCGTTCGTCCGGCGAGGAGCTCGTGCACCGCCGCCTAGCTCCTCCCCCGCCGGCCGCCGCCCGCCCGCCCAGCCTCCGCCGCTCGCCGCCCGCACGCAGCTCCTCCCCACGCCGCCTGCGCCCGCCGGCCGCCGCCCGTGCAGTTTGGAAAAGATAGGAGAGAGAGAAAGAGAGGTGGAGAGGGGAGGGAAGAAGTGGCTGATGCGTGGGGCCCACATGGGTCCCATGCTGAGTCAGCTCCTACATAGGACAAAACCGGAGTGAAAACCGTCCAGAGACCTAGTTTGCACTGGTTTTTTAAGTTGGAGGATACATCATATCCGGTTTTGCGGTTCGAGGACGGTATTGTAACTCGATGACAAGTTGAGGGACCTTGAGTGTACTTTTTCCTTCTTTTTTAAGTTAACAAGGGCAGAAACTAGTTTGCACTGAACTGTTATTATGTTACATGTCTTCTCTACTTGCCCACCAAACAATAACCTTCCTAGCTAGAAAAGAAAAGAAAAAAAAAACTTACTAGATATCCACATTTGCACAGATTAGTTGTACATTGCATTTACTAGATACATGATGACCAAGGCTAACAAACAAGAAACTCAAGTGGTGCCCCTGAGAAGTTGCTCAATTCATATGTACCATCACATCAGCAGCATCAGATTCCAATATCTGCTTCCAGTCCCCTTGTGAAGAATATATCATCATGGCAATGCATCATTGATATCAATTGTCATATGCCATGGATGAGAAGGCTGAGGACAACTGACAGAATGCCAAACTACAGGGGATTACAGACAGAGCAAATGCATATGCATATGTACAGTTGCTGCATTGGGCTCAAAACAATTGCCAACATTTCATCCTAGCTAATCCTGGTGCTGCAGCTCACAGCTTTGAAGAAGGGGAGCTTGAAGATGGGAGGTAACCACTCTCCATACTGTTCTGCAGCAAGATCGAAGGATCGCTCGATGGCGCGTAGGACCACTCCGTTAGGCTGTTGTTCATGGATTGATTGGATTGGGAGTAACTGGGCCTGATGTATCCACTCAAATCTTCATCAGGTACAACCTCTAGAGGGGCTTGGCCACAGAGCATGCTCACCACCGAAGACATTCTTGGCCTCTGAACAGGTGATGTGTTTGTGCATAGAAGAGCTACATTGAGCATCCTAAGTGCTTCTTCTTGAGAGTAGTGAGAACCAAGACGCTGGTCAACGATTTCCAGTAGTCTCCCTTCCTGCTTCAATCTTTCAGCCTGTGGGCAGAAAATAAATCCAGTTAGTAGATTCGTGTTTAAAATGTGTAGCAGGACTATCAGCAGTTTACTTGGTGATATTAACATGCAATGCAAGGCTAAATTTCTTGGGTAATTCGCCTTTCAGATGTGAAACACTTTCAGTTAGCACTAGGCAATTCTTTCTTCTGGCATGAAGAATATTGGTTTGTTTGTGGGCTAATCCTGATCAAGAGAAAATTGTTTATGGGCACACCTAGTTCATTGTTAGCCTTTGTTTGACAGAATCTCAGTAGCTACTAGACAGACTGATTATCCATTGTTATCCGTTGGGTGAGTACCAAGAAACTTGGTCTTATTTCATTGGCTATAGCAGAATAGCTGCCATTCAAATGATCGATTTTTGGAACTAATGTTGTTGGTTTATGTTACAATTGACCTTTATTCCTATCATAACATAATTTTGAACAGCCAATCCAAATCATCAATTACTCAGCATATTATCAGCCTAAAATGTGACAGAGCTCTCCAAAGTTAAGCAAACTGACTTTATAAAAGATAACATATCTATGACAGAAATTCGTCCCATAAGATCATACCCAATTCTATGGGGCTGGACGGCTGGTTATGAATTCGAGTCCTAAAAGACAAAAGCAGTAACAGAAAAAAAGAAGCTAAAATAGCATACCCAGTCAAGAAGATGGAGATATTCGTCATCTGACATGCTACTTGTATTGCTCATTCCACTAACAATCTCTAATGTCACCACTCCAAAACTGTATACATCTGCTTTACATGTCAAGCAACCTCTCGTGGCATACTCAGGTGCCATGTATCCACTGGTTCAAATAAAGAACGGTATCAGATGTTGGATAATAAAGATTTTTACAATATACAATAATAGAAAATGAAAGGTGAAGTAGCCAATAAAAATATAGAATGACAGCTTACACTGTTCCAGCTATCCGAGTGCTCATACGCCCACGGTCATCATTCAGTTTAGCCAAACCAAAATCAGATATTTTCGGTTGCAGTCTTTCATCAAGAAGAATATTTGATGGTTTAATATCTCTATGGATGATTTTCAATGTTGATTCTTCATGGAGATAGCACAAGCCTTTTGCTGTTCCAAGGCAGATATTATATCGTTTTGGCCAGTCTAGTTTCAATTGATGATCTCCACGTCCTAAAAATTGGTACACTATTAGAATAGAATGCTCTTACCAACTACGATGAGCGTTGAACTAGATAATTGTAGGGAAATTCATTTTGGGGCAGGAAAACCAGTTTGGAAATATCATCTGAATTTATGTAGTCTTACCAAAAAGTGCACGACCAAGACTATTGTTTTCCAATAACTCGTATATCAGCAGTAGCTGTTCTCCATCAATACAACAACCAAAGAGCCTTACAAGGTTAGGATGCCTTAGGGCAGATATTATTCCTATTTCATTTAAAAACTCACGATTCCCTTGGCTCGACTGGGAAGAGAGTTTCTTAACAGCAACTGTAGTACCATTGGCTAGTGTACCCTGAAGATAGAAGATTGGTTAACAGTGTGTTACAACTCAGAAAGGAATGAAAGAGGTACTGAATTAAAATGCCTACTGTTAGTTTATTACATCTGAGTGCTGGTCGATTCACCTTTATTATTATTTATATGTTTCTTAGTTATTATGTTCGATCATCTGAGTATGTTGCAGTGGCAGTGAATTACTTATCCCAAAGGCAGTGTTTGGCTAATGGGATAGGGGAAATGATTTCCCACCCACCAAAAGACATCTTTAAATCCTAACCATTCATTTCTCCTTTTCCATTTAATCTTAACCCTTCATTCATTTCCCATTCCCAATACCACCCCCCATTTCCCATTATCCAAACACACCCAAAATGTGTATACCATATGCAGTGATGTCATGAATACAAAGTAAATTTTCTGTATTCTAACACCTTAAGGGAGAAAACCTTAAGTTCACAGTTTTTACCTTGTAAACAGGTCCAAAGCCACCCTCACCAATTTTATTTGCAGGATCAAAATTTTTCGTTGCAGATTCAATTTCTTTTAAGCTAAAGAAGTACTGTGTCCGTGTCTGAAGATCTGAAGTATCGGTCTTCCTTCCATGGTAAAAGAATTGTAAACCTGTGATGCACAGTAAAATATTAAAACTAGAAGGTAGAAACACTAGTGTATTTTGGATGTCTGTCGTCAATATTAGCTGACGAGCATATCAATTTTTTTTTATTGACATTCTTCTAGTTTAGAGATAGTTATAAACTTTCAACTGCATAATACAGCCAGAAAAAGGATAGCATCCCCTTGGTCCTTATGTAATGAATTAACACAATTTTGGTTTATGTTGCTCAAGTTGGTTGCTTCAATAATAAGTTTACGGGCTGATACTTGAATTCAAAATTAGTAAATTTCACATCCCAGGTTTTGGGGCATTCGTAAGTTTTGCAATTTGCTTCGAAGAACCCCATGAATTGGGGGGAAATGCTTCATAAAACCCAGGTACATCCTACATCATCTAATTCCCATGGTATAGTATTTGTGCATAATATTTGGACAAAAATATTATGCAGTATTTTGTGTGCATAGAAACATTAGGCATTTTCTCAACGAATAGAGTATATGCTTTTGAAAATACCACACATTATAAGAATATGTGTACTTTGCATAAATCTGGTTTTGTTGAACATTTTGCCCAAAAACCTGGGTTGCTTTATACATGGGAAAACCTAAGGTTTTACGCTACAAATTCCCCAAAAGGCCAAAACCTAGGGGTTTTATGAATTTCATAGTTTAGAATCAATGACAAGCATGCTAAACCAGACAGAGAAGATAACATACATTCATATAGTATGTAGGACAAGGTAGAAAATGAATATCAACTTACCATTTCCTTTCAGATTCTTTTTCCGGAAGAATTTGATATAGCAAAGAATTAGCGCAAGTATGACAATCAAACATGCTGCTACTATTATAGTAATCATCAATCCAGTAGAGATTCCATGATGGTTCCTGTTTACTGTACAAGTACTACAGTTAGCTAATTTCCAAGCATATGAGAAGATATGATTAAACAGTATCCATGCGTAATTAGAGAGCTTGAAAAGCACATGTAAAATGTTGGAAAGAAGACAGTTTAGTTGGGAGTGCAAAGAACTTACATTGTATCACAGATATAGCTGAGATCAATGGACCATACACACCCCGGTCAGGAACACCTGTGGTACCTTTGCCTGCCCAGTAGAAGTGAATTTCCAATGTATTATCTGTGATGTTGGTTGTGAAAGTTTTTGTAATTACACGATGGACACCACCAGCCTCATCTTGAATGTTAAAATCCTTCAAAACTTTAGTACCCTGGCAGATTATTGCAAATCTTAGTTAATAATGTCTTAAGAGAACAGTAATCCATATTTGTATGATGCTACTTTAACAAGAATTAAATAATGCATGGTATATTCAAGAAAGTGAGGACAGGTGCCCAAGAAATCATTTGAGCAGGAAATAACTTACACCAACAAAAAATAAAGTAACCAAGAAAAGAAACTTCCATATTTTATTCATAATTTTATATCCACTTGGGTTGCTGACGATTTCAGATTATCCAATTTTCATCTTTGTCGCTTCTTAATACAAATAATGGATTTGAAATTGGATTTTGTGGATTTGCACAACTCTGTGTGCATTCATGATTCTGTTTTGGAATTTTTCAAACATTAAAACATGGTAAATTCTTTTTTTTCTCGAAAAACGCAGGAGAACTACGCCTCATTAAATTAAGAAGAGAGAAAAGGGGCTAGAGCCCTACAACACACACCACACACAACTCACACAACTTCACACAACTCTCAACGAAGGAAACATAAAAGCGCCTGAGCTAAACACCAAGGGGCGACCAAGAAACTGCCACTAAACATGGTAAATTCTATAACTGAGACAACTGTTCCCCAGGCAGCAAGCAGTTGTTATTGATCTTTTTTGTTAGTAGGACAATCATTTGCTCCAGATAATATATAAATTCTCCAAATATAATGATAGCTTTTCCATGCAAAATTTCTGATAGTTATTAAGAATGAAGTAAGAATTCTATAACTGAGACAACTGTTCCCCTAGGCAGCAAGCAATTGTTGTTGATCCTTTTTGTTAGTAGGACAATCATTTGCTCCAGACAAAATATGAATTCTCCAAATATAATGATGGCTTTTCAACACAAAATTTCTGATAGTTTTTTTAATAATGAAGTAAGACAAGTGGTATAAACTAAGAGTAGCAAAGAATTAAGATGCCAGCAAGATTATGACATAAAGGAAAATGGCAAATCCTACAGATTAAGGGAATGGTACCTGGATAAAAACATCAAAAATGCGCTTGCCATTGCTGGAAAAAGTATGATCTTCTGTAAACACAATCTCAGCAAAATGAAGTTCTACAGAATATTCACCATTTTCCATGCAGACTCCATAGTATTTCAGTGAGAGGGGTGAGAGGCGAGCTTCAGTGTATAACTCAGGGTGATCCAGTGTGAGTTCTGATGTGTTTCTAGCAATGTAATCAGCATCTGGATTACCCACAAAATCTCCTGTACTACTATAGGCCCATTTTCTGTCATTTGATAAAACAAAAGTTGATGTTCCTATTCGAGATGAGTCATCCTCATAAATATTCCCATTGACCTCAACACTTTTGCCACCACAGTTAATAAATAGGGAGGAATCTGAAGATATTTGAAGGAATTTTTTAGTACCATTTTACACTTAAAATTTTAAACTCAAATCTGAATATAAGACTGATGTCATGTCCCATCTCCATTGCATAAGAAACTTACAGCGTGGTTTGTCCATGCAGGGAAGATTCTTTCGTAAACATGGTTGCAAACTTGCAAAACAAAAAATCATAAACCCCTTAATACTTATTTTCTTATATGGATATTTGATATGAAAATATATTATATTGAAATTTCAGTGTGTGATCTTACAGATTGTCATTTGAGGATGAAAAACTTGAAACCATATTTCTGCAATTACAACATGCAAGGCATTTCAACATCATGAAAAAAAAAGCTCATTCTATGCAAAGTTCAAATGAGCAGCATACACGTTTGCTTGTTGACATTCATTTGGAGGGTTACCCGTGAAGTTATTAAACGACACATCCCTGCAAGCATTCATCAGTTGTTATCCAAGAACATATCACCAAAACAGAAAGTGACATATACAACTGATTTTCATTCTATAAAAAGTAAACAAGAGTGACCAGTAGAGAGCATATATGTATGTGCACAGAAGAGTATTGCATTATAGCATACGCACATGTTTACTTTGTTGCTTGCCTTGTTTTTCAACATCCAACCAGGCAAATCTCCAGTCAGCATGTTGTCACTTAAGTACCTATTTATAGTAATTGAAATGAGGCGCCTTCCAAAAGCAATAAACAAAACCACCAATGTTGGAGAGAATTCTACACTTTATTTTGTCCAAAATCAAACAAAAAATGTTGACACATAAAGTAAAATCTCAAGGATTTAATCTCACAAATATTGTAGTTGTAGTGCCACCATTCTGTCAAAATTTTGTGGAATTTGACCAGTCAACTTGTTGAAGCTTAGATCCCTGAAATTAATACAGATTGTAATCATGGCATTGAGCAAAACACCAGGGCTTTGTGTGGCCACATATGTTAGCTTCAATGAACAGTAAAACTTATACAACATCCTATAGTAGAGAATGAGTTAGCATGTCAGAGAAACAAGTATTTGTAATTATCAGCATTCAGTGTAAAAGGAGACAATAGGTTATGCCAAGATTACCCCTTAATACTATTACCCCCTAATAGTGCAACAAAAACAAGTGAAATAGATAATGGTAAAAGACACCCTTGTCCAACGCATGCAGTAAAAGACACCCATATTTCATATTAGAATAATAAACCATGACATTTCCAATTCTAACAACTGACTTTTCTCGTCTCACCCATGATGATGCAAACAGAAAAACCATAACCATATGAACAAGAAAGTTCACTCTAAAAGGTAATGGTTGAAGCAAAATAATGGCTGGATACTTACATGAGTATTAGATACTGCATCTGTCCAAGGTAAGGTGGTATTTCACCATATATGGAGCAGTTTCTTAGGACCCTGTAACATAAGAGAATTTAATATTGTGCTGGAAGTACTAATGTTTTTGAACAAACACCCAAAAGGATACTAAGATGGAACTTAGCATCAATTTTTAAGAGAGAAGAAATGGTGAGAATTTCATATTGTGCTGGAAGTACTAGTGTTTTTGAACAAGAAATGGTGAGAATTCCATATTGTGCTGGAAGTACTAGTGTTTTTGAACGGACACTCAATGTGGGATACTAAGAAGGAACTTAGCATCAATTATTAAGAGAGAAGAAATGGTGAGAAAACCAGAGCTGAGGAGGGACTCGAACTCTGCCCAGCAAGAGCACCTGGAAGCTCCCATACCACCGGGCTACAATGCCGTTCTCTGCTGGAAGTACTAATGTAAGCTAGTAAAAATCACTGAAAGATAAACTTACACTTTTGTAAGGTGCTGTGCATTTTGTAAGGGAGGAAATTTCATGCTCGGTCCACTCAAATCAGTCACTCTCCTGATTATGTAATGGTTACAAGATATATTGTTAAAAACATCAGTTGTGACTCAGTGGTAAAATAATAAAGCATAGGTATGAAACATTCATACAGTTCTGTTAAGTTGTTCAACAAAGAAATTTCTGGAGGAATAGGCCCACTCATCAAGGTACCCTGCATGTCTCTGAAAAATCAAGAGAGAAGATTTAAACGAAATTAGAACATTGAACAAAAGTCATTTTCATCCATTTCAACTGCAACTCGTGAAATGTTCTACATCAGAGTGAAACTAACATTCTGTTGACCCGTTGCCAATTTTTTATGAAACTGGGTATTCTTCCTGAGATATTGGTCCCGTCAATTCGGCTGAAATTGTTCCAAATTACAACAAAAATTAGAACTTCCTAGTCAAGAAAAGATTTTCTTGAAATAAGGGTGGGACATACAAATCTGTCATATTTGTGAGCCTGGAAAAGGTTGAAGGCAACTCTCCTGTGATGTCATTTGCAGAAATGAAACTGTAAGAGGAAAATGAGTAATAATTCAAGAAACTTTAGACAGCCTTAGTGGAAAAATAATGAGAAACTTCGTTTTCAAGGCATATTCATGTTTCTTTAATTGATAAAAGTTATCAGCATCTGAAGGAGAAAAAAAATCATTCAAAACATGGCATCGTGTTATTCTAATTAACAGTATATAAACTGTAATGGGAACAATTGAACAGCAACGATGTATTAATGCTAATTAGGTATGGTTACTTATCACATTCATGCTAGTTTTCAAAGTCGTTGCAAATTTAACTTTAAATAAAGAAGTCTGGTTATTTGAATTTCCATTCCCGGTAACAACATAAGTATATGTCTTAAACAACAACGCAAGACAAGTGAACCTCCTTAGCAATGAGGATGTAAATAATTATATAAAGGTATCAGTACAGGAACTTACAATCTCTCCAAACTGATGATGTTACCGAATTCTGGTGGAATATGACCCTCAAGCTGATTGCCTTCTAGATTTCTGCATGCAAATGGTTGAGGTTCAAAAGTTAGTTCCTCTAATATTTTAGGGGAGCATATCCTATGGACATAGGCCCTCGCGTGTACACACCGTGTACACCAACTAAAAATTATCACAAAAAATTCTAGAAAAATTCATACATGTACTTCCAATAGTATTACATCTACGCGCAAAGTCACATCTTCCAATAGAGAGTAACAAAAAAGATAAAATTCTGACAGAATTACAACCTTAAAACTGTCAGATGTTCTTTTTTGTTACGGCTAAAATATAATGAATTTGAGGTTAAGATTTTACCATTATGTGTAATACTATTGAAAGTACATGTATGATTTTTTTTATATTTTTTGGTGACATTTGTTAGTTGGTGTGCACGTGTGTATACGTAAGAGCTTCTATGCATAGGATATGTTGCCATATTTTAGTATACACTTTCAGCCCAGCAAGCTCCAGGTGCTTGTAATCATCGTGCAACCACAACTCACATAGATTTCAAGAAGGGCATGCGTCCAAGCTCCTTAGGTACTGTTCCAGATATGCGATTTCCCTGGAGAGACCTGTAATTGCACTAGAAAGTTGAACAAATGACTACTTACAGGCATTCTGACGATATGATGTAGGATCATGCAAAACATACAGATTAAAAACAGGTAGGCTAGCCCATGATGCTGGAATTGGTCCTTGGATGAAATTGCGTGATAAGTCACTGCAGGGAAAGTGAGACTTTTATTTATGAATGCTGGTGAATGTTCTTAAATTTAAGTAGCTGGATGGAAGCACTTACAGATTTGTCAAATAAGTGAGGTTGACAACTTCTTCAGGTAGAACTCCACTAAGATTCTGACGCATAAGTTCCCTGCCATGTGCATGAACAAAGAATAAAAAAAACATTTTAGTGAACAACGAAAGACACTGAAACAGTTGAACTATTCTGGATAAGAACCACTCTAGAGCAATAAAAGAAGTGGAATAATAGGTATTATCCTTACAAGCTGATAACATGACACTCTGTGTTGTTCTTGAATGAACAATCACATGTCAGATTGCTGACTGGAAAATTAGGATAACTAGATTTTGGGTAACTATTGGAATCACTGGCATTAACCCAAGTTTTAGACCCAGTGCATGGATCCACACTGAAGTCCCAATCCATCTTGTTAAGCTTGCGTGCTATTCCCTTAAGTGCTTCAACTGCAAAAGAAAAGGCAATTGAAATTTTAGCTTGTATTTCTGTTAGCATGTAAGAACTCAGCAGTCTCAATACAATGTTGTTTGTTTGCTTCCCTCAAAAGAAACAAATAGAAATCACCAGCACCAACAAGGCAAGTATCAAGTGTTCCCGCATGAGAATTTCAAAATGTTGCAATATACAACTTAAACACACAAATTTTGACAATTTGACCCTTTCCGAAAACTAATTTTACAAATGAACCGCGGCCAAAACTTATTTCAAAAATGACCCTTTTGTTCAACGCTAAATCGTATGGCGCTGAACTTAGACACCTCAGCGCCAAATAGCACGGCGTTAAATGCACGTTGGCACGCCGACTCAGCCTCTCATCCGCGGTGGCACAGCATTCAGCGCCAGTTGACGTGGCGCTGAGGTGTCTAAGTTCAGCGCCATACGATTTGGCGCCGAACAAAAGGGTCATTTCTGAAATAAGTTTTGGCCGCGGTTCATTTGTAAAATTAGTTTTCAGAAAGGGTCAAATTGTCAAAATTTGTGACTTAAACAGTACAAAGCCACGGAACAATGCATAATGAGTGAGCTAGAGAACCTATCAAGCAGTGGATAAAAGGAAGTTTGGTATTGCAATTCTCATTTGCTTAGAGAGTAAAAAAACTAAAATGTTGGCACAAAAGCCTCATGTTTGATGGTAGCAGCCTCCCAGAACTCCATATTTATCCTCGTTAGCAAGTGAAGTGAGACATTCATAAATTATTTCTCTCCACACATAGCTACCAGCATAGGCCATGGCCATGACATTAACTTTGAGTCATTGAGCTATCAAACATGCCATTTCTTTCCCTCAAGTGCCCAATTTCTTGTAGCGCATATATGCACAGTAGGCCATGGCTTTGCACAACTCACCCATCAGCTCAAGCCCATGACTCATTGCGCTCTAGCAACTAAACCTCCGAAAAATTGCAAGCGCGGAGCATTGTGCACTGCCATTCTCCGGTTCATCATTCCTTGCAAGAGGAAGGCTTTGCGAAACCATCGCTGTTACCAACTCAATACAATCACCAGGCAACATATTGTCGTAATGTCATGAGATGCATACAACACATTGTCACCATGGTTTGTATTGCACATAAAGCCAAGCCAAAGCAGCCAACGTCTCCTGCCAGCGCACCGAGCCAACTTTGGCACTCCTAGGAAGTTGCCCGGCGTGCACCCTGGGTACTCAGCAATTTCATCAAACAGTTGGCGTGCAGCACCCATTGGACTAGATCAATCTGTTCACCACTGCATATGCCTAACCCGCAGCTCTGGCGCAAGATGGGATCTTCAAGACGAAGAGAGCGGCCAAGTCAAAACTCAAAAGCCAAAACAACTTCCTGCTCAGATTCGCCATCGACAAGATCGCACAGCTTGCCCTTATCTTGGGGGCCCTTGGAGGAAACAATTTTGGTGGGGGAATAACCGAAAAGGCGAAAAATGGCGATGCTATTTGCTCTTATGCCCCTAAAGGAATACCAATTTGCATTTCAACCCTGAATGATTCAGGGAATGCTATATATTTGCACTTAAGCTGGATGAGAGAATTTTTTAGAAACGTCCTGAGAGAAGCAACAATTCGGCACGAACTCCATGCGTCCTGAACACAGTTCACCCGAGGATCACAGGCGCAATAAGAAAAGAAGAAAAATGGCATTTCGCCATTTTGCACGGTGTACGACTGTACGAGTTCTTGAGGCATTGCCCCCCAAGTGAGCAGCACTGATGGATCTGATGCGGCAGAGCAGAAGAAATGCCTGAGTGCCCTTCCGGGCGATCTGGGTGAATTTTGCAGATGATCTTGAGACGCCAAAATCAGCGGTAAAGAAAAGGGAAATCTTTGGCAGTTTATCTCCAGATCAAAATAAACAAACATTTTTTTATTATTCTTGTTTCCGGGGATTGGTAGAGGCTGCTAGTTGTAAATACGAAGTAGTAAAATAAAAATCAACTACCAGCGTGTGGAGGCCATCGATCGATTTGTAGTTGCGGTTGCAATGACAGATTGGGAGCAGCAAAAAAATCCACAAGAATCTCAAGACAAAGCTCAAGCTTAGCTAAGCGAAAACACACTTAGGCGCATGCTTACTACAGTAATTAATTCTAATTAACAAAGAAATTAGCAACAACAACCAAAAAACAAAACAAGAAGAAGAGCAAAATCTGAGAGGAAAGCTAGCTAGCTGCCGCCGCCGCCGTACGCAACTCACCTTCTTGCTGCGGCAGCCTCTGAGTCTGCGCGGCCGCGGCGGCGCACCGGCGGCCATCTCTGCAGCCGGCGCCCAGCAGCAGCAGCAGCAAAGGTAGGAGGAGGAGGAGGAACAGACGGCTGCCTCCCACCATTGCCCTTCGGCCCCTCCCAATACTGGGCAGCAAGCAAGCTACAGAGAGCTTTTGGTAGAGCTAAGCTAGCTAGGCTAAGCTAAGCTCCTCCTCACTGTGCTCGTGCTGCGCTTGCGCGTGCGATGCGACGCTGGTTTTTGGGTGGAGTTGCGTATGGGTTGTGGTTGTGCGGCGCAGCGGCGGTAGGCCATATCGCAGCAGGCTCGGGTTTTTGACCAGCTGGGGGATTAACGCTTAATGCGCGCTGACACTGCTGCTGATCGTGTGTTTTTTTTTTTTTGTTCGCGGATAAGAAGTAGGAGTAGTACGGAATTTCTTTCTACTGTACAGTTTCTACGTCCGGTCAACTTGTCTTTCTTTTTATTTATTAACAACGAGAATACTAGTGTCTCCGTCCCAAATTATTAGACATTTTGATTTTTTTTATTTTAATATTTAATCATTCATCTTATTTAAAAAATTAGTATAATTATAAAAAAAATAAGTCATACTTAAAATATTTTAATAATAAAGCAAATCACAAACAAAATAAATAATAATTCTATAATTTTTTGAATAAGACAAATGATCAAATATTAGAAAGAAAAACTCAAAACGACAAGTATTTTAGGACGGATATAGTACTAGTTTACATATTGATACCGTTAAGTACGGTCTGGTCTGGTTTGATTTTGATTATTAGACAGACTGGAGAGATAAATTAAATATTTTTAAAATTTTAATAAATAATCCAAACAAATGGTCGTACGTATTACAGTAAAAAGTGTTATGATAGCACATGTTTTGAAAACATAGAATAAATAATTTAGAAAAGACAAAAAAACCAAAGAGATGATATCTCCGAAGGTTTCCCAAACCACATCGAGGCTAGACTCCATCTTCCTTTTGTCGACGATCCAATCTTAGAGTACAACCTTTGATTTTTTTAGGCTTGATAAAATATACTCCATCCGTTTTCTAATATAAAGGATTTTAATATTTTATTTGCACTGTTTGATCATTCGTCTTATTTAAAGAAAATTAGAATTATTATTTATTTTATTTGTGACTTACTTTATTATCCAAAGTATTTTGAGCACAACTTTTTAGTTTTTATATTTGCACAAATTTTTTCGAATAAGATGAGTAGTCAAACGTTACAAGAAAATAGTGAATATCCCTTATACTAAGGGATGGAGGTAGTAGGAGTCACACATTTTGATAGATCTAAAGTATTGGTTTAAGGGATGAGATAGGTTGGGTTAGGTTAGAATCTATTTTTTCGAGTATTTGGCTTAAGGATAAGTGGGATGGGATGGTATCTCATAGAAAATATTATTAGAACTGACGGATAAATCTAACCCACTATTCTCTCTATCATCTCTGAAGGATGATCTCAGGAGAATATTCCCTCAAGATTCGGATTAAATTGATGGACTATTCCAAACCATTTTTTTATCTGGCTGATATATAAGATATCTTTTTAAAAGTAGGATCATTAGGATCATTTCATTCCTCGTGCCAAACGAATGTACGAGGCCGTCACATCTTAAAAACAGAGTTTAACCTATCCCACGTGACCCCGATAGCCAACCCCTGCTAGTTAACCTTGCACGCCTTCCAACGGTTTTGAGCACATGTACGTATCTGACTGCATTGCTTGGTCCATAGAAAATAGAGCTTCGGCTCAAAACATTTTTCATTAGCTTCTTTAAACCGCGTGGGATCCTTGAAGAATTAGGATGCCACTTCAGCGGTTCCTTTTGCAAATTAGCCCCCGCACATTGGAGATTAGGAGTGTAATTTTTGCAAAAAAATCCCTATGCTTCCAGTTAATTACCTATCAGTCATCGCTACTGTCCACCGTCCGATCTCACCTAGTAGTATGCATGCTTGTGCATCTTCCGTGTAACCTCTCTCAACCTGTGGTAGATTACCATCCACTTCATTCTGCCAGATACAGACATACAGTGCATGTAATGGAGCCAAAAACTGTATTGATCAGCTGTGGCACCAGTCAACCCAAGCATGTGATTCTACTACTGGCTTGGCTAAAAACATGCCATTCCCCTTCATCTACTTGGACTAATTAAAGTGGATACCTAGTTTGATGTTTGACATTTCAGTCCACAGGAACTCTCTTTGTGCAAAGAACCAAACGCCACTGCTAGCCAAGTGCCACTTCTCTTTCCTAGTTCCAAAAGATGAAAAAAGAGGATCCAAACCTTTCCTAAAGATCAGCAATTGATGCTACTGGTAGCATGCATATGGTTGGAAGGTGATCTTAATTTCTTCTTCCCTGATGGTGAAATTGGACTGAAAACCACTTTGCTTAGGAATGATGTGAGCTCATGCCATGCATGATGACCAACCAATAGTTGCAAACTCTCTACTAGTACTAGCCAGTGAAAGCAGGTGATTTGGATCAACTTATGATGTGTCAAATCCACCATTACTAGTAGATTATCTATACATCTTGCAACTGGTCAACAAAGATCAACTTCAAATCTGTTGTTGGACATAAATTAGAGGCTGTTGTCAAGAACACAACAGTCCACTCTGGCATGGCATGGATGGTTTGTCAATGACAAGTTGTGCTCTCTGACTCTGACTTTCTTTGGCTGGTCTGTTTGCTGCTGACCTGGTCATCTGCATGGATTAGCAGTGGTATAGTACAGGATGCAAGCTATTAAGTCATCGCACACCACTGAGGAAGCAACTATGAATGGTTGATGTTGATGGTAAATGATCTTGGTTGTTAGCAGGTAGCAGGCCGATTCATAATTATCAAGGACTTTCTGACGCATGCTAAGATCGATCTTCTAGTAGTCTACTAAAGTCTAATTTTGAGTAATATGTAAATCCGCAAATGGAAGTTGTTTTGGTCGATTTTGCTTAGGAGTAGTCCAACTTGACAAGTTTATTTTTCAGATAATGTTAAGTAATTAGCTGACCACTAAATAAGTCCTATAAAACGTGCATAGGCATGAGATTAGGCGATAGGGCATTAGTGGCAATGCTTTTTTTTAAGATGCTTCCTTGGAAAATTCCAGGTCATGTTCCACCGCTATGAACATGGAAACTTACCAGCCGTAAATGCAAGAACCAACCACAATTAACAAAGAGGAAGAACTCCAAAAGGAGATGTAAATGAGATGACCCACCAGCACATGAGCACATGATTGCAGTTTAAACCGTTCTGATCAACATGCAGCAAGGAATGGAAGGATGGAGACACTTAGGTAGGCAGTGCAGTGAAGGGCCCTACCTAAGCTTGATGATAAGGTCCACATGAATGAAGACAAGTAATAATCTGACCAAAAAATGCCATCATGACTAGCAATAGAACAACGCATGTGTATAGTTCCTACGTGTGAAATATCTAGGCCAATGCAGACAGTGACATGCCACAACCTGACAAGGATTAGTTTAGTGACGAATGGTGAACTGAAAATGATGCAATGCATTTTGTGCTTGGGCTTAAGGCCCCAACCCTCAATCTCAGCTAGTGTTCATAACATTAAATCCACTATCACATAAGCAAAAATCTAATATAGCAAGAAAGTTAATGAGAAAAGAGGTAAAAAGATGAAACTATTTCTCATACAAGAAATATCTCTACACAAAAATCAAGAATTAAAACAAAGGAAAGAGAAAAGAGGTGATTAGATAAGAATTTAAAACCATGTGGTTAATGAGTCATGACAAAAACGGCAATTATAGTAGACAGTAACAGTTAAGATTCACCATCCACTGAAACAACCGGCAGTTTCTGATTTCTCAAGAACGAGCAAGAAATTGACCATGCAAGTTTGCCTCCTGTAATGCAACCAATAAACTTGATGGCATATTGATATGATCGACTGAACTGGAAAATCTTCTTCAAATTTTGCATTTTCATAGTTTCTGCCCAGAGATATCCTTTCATTCTCCATGCTTGGGAGAATTCAAGTTAAAGAGAAAATGTACATTGGGTGAGCACGATTACAACGCACGCCTCAGTGCTCTCTGGTGTGGCATTATTAGTTTATTACCCATATATACGTGAACTTGACAACTTAAGACTTACAGCTCCCAGATTCATGCAGATATGTAGACTTGTTAGCACAGGGATGAAGCTTTGCTTTTATTTTGTACGCTGGATGCTGTACCTTGAAGCTATCTTACAGGGCAGAACCTGCACGCCGACGCCTTGTTGCGTTAGAGGTAGCAATCTGACCAAGCTGTTCGCCCTGGCTTGCTGGGACTCGTTCTCTGACAGGTGTGTAATGCCTCAGCCAAACACCAGTGTATACCTGAAGAAAGAAGAAGCCATCATCAAGATATCTAGTCAACTAACTGATTAACACCATATCTGTAATTATGTATCGCATGAATCAAATATATAATACATAGGAATTAATTGGCCAGCATTCAGAATACACCCAAAAAGGTCTAGATAGAGAGCACAGTATCAAGTGATGAATGTATAAAAGGAGTCAATATATCAAGAATACTGCTGGACTTTGTTAGTGAAAGATATAACTATGCCGTGGTCATAAGAAAATCCTACGCTCCTTGTTTGCAGCCCAGAGAAGAGCTAGCCAAACCAAATGATATTCAAAAGGAAAAGAGCATATAACTATTTATTTCCCATCACCGCAGTCACTGTGCAGAATAACAATGGCTCCAATCTGGCTCAATATTGATTGACAAGAAAATCTAAATGTTAAGTTGCTCAAAAAGGAGTAATCATAATTCATGATTGACCTGGAGTTCATACTAAGGGAACATAATAGTACATGGCAAATTTGTTTGCCTATCACTGACCTGCTGAGGCCTCATAATCTTAGTGTCTGGATCATCAAGTGACTCTTTCCAATGTGCTAACCAACCAGCCATGCGAGGAATTGCAAACAGAACAGGGAAGAACTCTGTAGGGAATCCCATTGCCCTGAATCAACACAATCACAATTAGCTACTCAATGACAAAAGGAGAGAAAAGAGAAAAACAGCTTTCCCACTGATGTACCTATATATTAAGCCAGAGTAAAAATCCACATTTGGATACAGCTTCCTCTTGACAAAATAATCATCTGACAATGCTGCCTTCTCCAACGCAACAGCAACCTGACATGGCATCAGAAACCATCACAAAGGTGTATTGGATTTATCAAAGTGTTATTGCAGTTGCACACAGATAACCATGTTGTTCAGAATCCTACTTCACGAACAGAAAATAATTATTGTAGTTTTTTGTTCCATTAGGAAAAGGTTTGGAAGATAACACAGGGTAGTTAACAAAAATGTGACACCATCAATCCTCGAAGAGTGCTAGTTATAGCCTGCTTGATATTTTTGCCAAATAACTTTCCAGATTAATCAATCAAATTTCAAGTATTGTGGAAAGGATAGAATATAATCCTAATAGTTCTTGGGATTCCTCTAATACGATGGATCAAATGATCAAAGCCAGCAACCAAAATATGATATTGATTGTAGCACTTGGGCAAGTAGAACACAATTACTACACGGAACAGGTGCTTAATGTTTTGCCAATATAGCTTGTTAACCTCATGTTTATTTGAGCTTTGCAGTATTAAATATCAAAGGCTTTCTGCGATAACAGTAGTAAATCTGCAAAGTACATGTGGATGAAGAAACTGACTGAAAGCAACAATCAATGTTTCATATGTATCGGCATATGATTGATATACAAAATTCTGAAGGACAAGAATAGCATTAAAAAAGTTTTTTCTGAATGGTTAAAAATAATACATCTGTCAATAAATATCTTGATTGTCTTTTTAATTTTACAGACTCCTGAATAAAAATGATTGCTCTTTGAAATATGTGAAGCACGACGATTAATGGCATCTAAAAAGGCTAGTTGTTATTTTTTAATACAGAACCATGAATTTAGGTTTAAATTAATCATTCTGAACGATTATTAGCGTAGCCAGTTTCGTTCAAGGAGATTTTTAAATATCTAGCCAAGGGCCTGTGCGTTGTAACGGATTTTCTTAGCGATTATAAAAATATTTTTCAACTTTTTACCCAACATCATCTGCCTATTAATTATAAGAAATAACAAAATTTAAATTTTAAGTTATTTTTTGTAGTGATTATTTTGTAGCATTGGTTTTAGAACCACAAACAATATAGATATAGGAGTCTTTAAAGATATTATTTATTTATTTATTTTTCATGCTTAATAAGTCAATTAGACATGTTATAAAAAACATTATGGTCTAAATCATGTCCACTGTTTTGTTTAAACAAGGTTAAAAGTATATGTTGTGTCCATTTCCTCCCATGGACCTATGGTCCCCACATGTCAGTTGGTAAGGTGGTGACAGAACCACCACCATCGCCGTTATAACTATCAATTTGCTACATGGTAGAAAAAATAGAAACAACAATGATTTAAGAGTGCATATAAACAAGAAACATTTTAATTTATGAAACTCATATTCTAAAAAAAATGTGTTTTTAAGAAAAAAAAATGAAGCGTATATTTTAAAAAACATGTGTTTTAAGAAAAATCGAAGTGTATATTTTATCCTGTTTGATGAATGTAATTACTTTTTTCACACAAGCGTATATTATTTCCTATATTTTTATGAGATTTTAAGGGAATTGAATTTATTATTTATAAAATAGTTGTTCGATTTAAATGCACTTTATATAATATGCACAGGTACAAAATAACGAGCGCGTCAACAGACGCGCTTATATTCTAGTTACAGGAAAAGGATTGAACAGTAAAAGACTAATAAATCTGTTTGCGTTTATTCAACATTGATCAGATCAAGAAAGAAACTAATCAGAAGTATTCCATCCATCTCAATGTGTTGTGCAAAGTCCATATTCATTCATTGCAAATAAAATGTAGACCTACTGTTTAGAAATGAATGCTTCATGTTCCCAAGTACATGTCATTTAGCATCCTATAGTGCCTGACAAAATCTGTTTCTTGGGTGTTGATTGCAATGTGAAACATTAACCAAATATTTCACTAACTGAATGAAGGTTACATACATACAGTCATCATAAACTGGACTTCTTGAATAAAGAAATTCAGCATAACTAACCTCGATAAGAGGATCCCGTCCGACAATAGAGAAGACCTCCTCTGCTAGCTTTCGGATGACTTTAGCACGGGGATCATAATTCTTGTAAACACGGTGCCCAAAACCTGACATCTTTCTCTTCCTAAAGAACAAAACAGATCTCATAAAAACAAGTCCAAACATATAGATTTAAAAAGGTAAAAGCTTAAACTTCATTAAACTAAAAAAGACCTCCATGATTACATTTCAGATCAGAAAATATAAATCAGGACAGGAGTTATATATTACCTGTTTTTCACTCCCTCGATGAAATCTGGAATATTCTCCACACTTCCAATTTCATTTAACATTTTAAGTACCGCCTGGCATGTTAGAAAATGGCATTAGTGCTTCTGCATCATAATAATTGAGTAATGCCTTAATTACTTCTAAAAATAACAGATGTAGAGTCAAGGTTAAAGCGAAACAAAGGTTTTAGAACTAAATTTTCAATTATATAAAAAAATCCAAGAAAATAAAAACCTCTCTATCAAGGAGGTGACTTATTTACATTGTTAACAGAACAAATTTATAGAGTACATAGACTGTATGTCTTTGTTACTTGTGAGCTTGATCCTTAGATTCTGATGATGAATGTGTATATAAACTATTAGCAGTCCAATGCAAGAAACAAAAGTGACAACTGCTCATTGCTCAGCATTGTTTACCTCATTTGCACCACCATGCAGTGGACCATATAGAGCTCCAACAGCACCAGAAAGAGCAGTGAAGACATCAACACCACTGTAAACACAGGATAAATAATCAGGCAAGGTCAGACTCCCAATTCTTAGAATGAATGGCATTATCTACCTTGAAGCAAGGTGCCTAGCAGCAGCTGTAGAGCAGTTCATTTCATGTTCAGCATGGAGAATAAAAAGGATATCTAGAACCCTAGCAAGTCTAGGATTTGGCTTGTATTCTTTGTCACCCCTGCATCACAGTCGAAAAGGAAAATGAAGTCAATCACAAAATTGAATTGCTTATTGATTTCTAACAAAAGAAAAATGAAAGAGCACATGAGAGAACAGAATACAAATAATTCCAAAGTGATGTGACTTACAAAGAGTCTAGCATATACAAGAAGTTCTCTGAATAAGAGAGACTATTTGTAGGAAGGATAGGAGGTCTTCCAGCTAATCTCAAGTACGCTGCAGCTGCAATTGTTGGTGCCTATACAGAAAATCAAGTTAATATTGCATCAATTATTAGTAAAACCAAACATATATAAAGCTAACTGCTGGGCTTTGCCCGGCAGTGCTTGTTTCCGGAAAAATAACATTATATAAATCTAAAAGAGAAACATCATTGTGATATGCATCATGACCTTCCATAGAATATCTCTGGCTATTTTATCACTTCACTAATTCAAGAAAGAGGGTGTATCATTTAACTGGGAAATTATCCTCGATTAACTTCACTAGTACAAGAATAATCGGATTTCTTAAGTCATACCTTCCCAAGTACTCGCACAATCTGCTTATCCCTAACCTGCTTCGACTTGTAAAGATCTTGACCCTACACGAGTACAATATATGTCATTAACAACAGCAAACTATTACACATAACAGATGGTGCATACATAATTCAGATATTAAAAAATCCAATTTTTGGCTGATTCTATCATGTTAAGTAAAATCATGTGAAGAAACAACTAGCTCAATTAGTGCATTTAGAGAGTGCTTACTCTAAGAGCAGGGTTTGCATCCGGATGGAAGACAGAAAGCGTGCTCATTGCACTGGCAAGGGCACCCATGGGATGAGCGTCATGAGGCATTGCTTGTATGATATCCTGTCAACGTTAAAAGAACACCAAGCCATTAGTTATTAGTACAAATTAAACAGAAAAGCTGTCCATATATACTGCAATGATACACAATAAGATGGCAAAACATACCAAGAGTCCCTGGGGAACAGCAGAGTGCTGAGAAATCGCAAATTCCCATCCAGCCAATTGGCTCTGGGTAGGCAAACTTCCGTACACTGCAAGAGCAAACATGTTTTCAACAACAAAAACTACATTTGCATTAAAGAGGAAATAAAGGTGCAGAACACTTACTCAGGAGGTAGGCCACCTCAACAAATGAGCTGCTTTCAGCCAACTCTTCAATTGGGTATCCCCTGTAACGAAGAATTCCCTCATCCCCATCAATGTAGCAGATGGATGAGCGAACTGGGGCTGTGTTGAGATAACCAGGATCATAGATCTTAAGACCCTTGTCGTCCTTTCCAGTGGTAATCTGCAACAATTAACCCAAAAAAAATCCTATTTAACTCTGGGATGATCTCATATAGCAAAGGCATCATAATATGCACAGAGCTTGAGCTGTCCACACATTCTCTTGAAATTTTAGTCCTAAACCAAAAGGTAGTGAAGTAACATTTGCATAGTTATCTAATAATTCGGTAGTTGCATTCTAGTTTGTTCGCAAGAAGTACCTGCCAATCAAGCAGAACAATTTACTACAACTACGAAGTCACATGCAAGCACTAGAAGATTTAGGATAACTTCATTGTGAACAAACGGGTAAGCTGCGACCTCATCGAAGTCAACCAGGATAACAATTAGAAATCGCCACACCTACATCCATACAGACACTATAATGAGGAACTAAACTCAATAATCATGCTAGTTTCGACTTTCTGACATCTCCAGGGAGAAGATTTGTCCAAAGGGGGGTGGCGATTGGGCGAAATTTACACATCGGTTTTGTCACCCAATCACTAGCAGCAGACGAAAATTGAGCACAACCAAGATCGCAATCCCCTAATCCAAGCCGATTCCACAGAAATCCAGCTTGATCCACCAACCAAAACCCGCATCCCGAAATCCCGCAACACCCCCCACATAACCCGGCGCGGATCACGGCGCAGGTCGCGGCAACGAAGAAGCCAGCAGTAAGCGTAGCGCTCCTACCTTCTTGAAGTCGGTGGCGCGCACGGTCCCCTCGTCCGACACCTTGACCTCGTACCTCTTCCCCGTCCTCCCATCCACCACCGCCAGCGCGCCGCCTCGCGCCCCCGCAGACGCCGCCGACCTCTCCAGCGGCCCCGCCGCGTCCGCCTCCCCGCAGGCGGCGGCGGGGGAGGCGAGGTGGGCGGAGAGCACGGCGAGGCGGGCGCGATCCATCGGCGAGGAGAGCAGAGCAGAGCAGAGGTGGGCGCGGGTGGTGGTTGCTTGGACGACTCGTCTGCGTTGGGTTGCAGGTTGGGGTTTGTTTGGGTTTGGCTTCCGCTTTGCGGGAATTATCGAGTCGTGGATGCTGCTGCTGTTATTATTGTGGGGGGAGATGGAGAAGGTGCAGGACCACTGGGGGCCTCGTGGGGGGATCAGATGATGATGACGATGGTGATGACGACGACGACGATGAGATTTGTTTTCGGTGAGTTTGCACGTCTTACGGTTTCATTTTCAACGCGGGCTTCTATTTGAACTCTTATTAAAATACATCTTCCAATTACTTAAACTTATTATGAAGGTTATTCCAATTCTAAATTGCCACGATTTTCTTGTGTCATATATCACGTGGGTGCTAATTCTTTTTCTCCTTTTATTTTTCTTTTTTCAAAACCACCTTGAGTAATAAGAACGGTTTTACAAAATTTAGAGGGTTGGATGTCCGGTTTTAAAGTTTAAGGCGTTAAACGGACTTCTATTTAAAGTTTAGAGGGGTATTTGGAAATTTTCCATTCTTTTTCTCCTTTTATTTTTCCTTTTTCTCCCCTTTCTCTTCTTCCTTCCTCTTCGTGTGTAAGAAATAAAAAAAGAGGGGAAAAAAACAAAAACATAGAGAATAATAATGAAAAAAATGGGATAGGAATGTGTGTATGACATACCATGTCAATGTTATGTAAGATCGGGTAATTTGAAATCAGAATAATACACTTTAACAAGTCATGGATCTAAAAATCTCTGCTACTTAGAAAACCGATATTTTTGGTGGTGAGTCCTGAACAATCAAACAGCTAAGTTGTTTCCTAAGATCCTCCCACAAGATCAACACTCCAAAATGCCCAATCCTTGTATCGCGCTCCAACCACCCATTCGTGCATCCACTCTCTTCGCGCTCCGTCGCACGCGCGCCGGCTCCCCTTTTGCCGCCCACCTTCCAACCCTGCTCCCTTCGCCGCCACCAAAGTCGTCGTCCCATTGCTCATACGCCTCTACCCATCGCACCGATCCACACTGCCACCGATGACGATTTCCTCCGCTCATCCCCTAACCACCGCCCCATCCCTCCCAAGTCAAGGTACACGGATGTTCGCGCAAGGGATAATTTCAGGTTGACGTGGCATATTCGCCAAGGTGTAGTTTGTTAGAGTTTTGTGTCGAATATGTGTACGTAGTCGGTTGCAATTTAGGACTTGGAGTTGTAATAGGTGTTTGGACTAGAGTAAGAGTCAGATTTTATCTTGGTTGTAACCGCAAGACGACAATAGCATAGGTATGGATACGACTGACCGACGGCCTAGCCGATGGAGGGTCGTGAATACCCGGATACACTGTAATATGCTGGATCGGGGAAGACCGCTCGTAATCAGTGCTCTGGGGATGTAGGTTTTGACTGAACCTCGTTAACAAATATCATGCCTCAGTGTCGCCTTCATGTTTAGATCTTCTATGGCGTTTCTTCCACGTTCGGTTTTCGAGGTATATATCGGGCTGGTTTTATAACAGTGTGCGCGTGCGGCTGCGAGGGAGAAGGGAGTGGGGAGGCACTCGAATGACTGTGCATTACATAATATAATTTGATGGACATAAAGAAGATTAATTAGATCACCATCCTAAAGATAGAGACAACACTATCCACAATTAGTGAAAATCCTGCAAGCTACATGTAGTCCTAGTTCAAACCTAAAAACAGACTCCATGAAATTAGCGCCTGATGGTTCTACCAATGAGAACTTGCGCACATTGCACATCACCGCCGGCAACATTGAACCGAATTAGAAGGTATCATCAGAGTGTAACTGCATTGCAAATCAACCACTCGTCCAAGTGTGGTCGCAAAATGCGAAGAACAACCAATGACTGCAATCAATCGGCCACGAGCCAATGTGGGGTCCCACCCACGGCATCAACTGCACGAAGAAGGTTCTCTCAAGCGGCTCTCCCATAGAGGATGCGATATGATTCACCGCTGCCGCTCATCCGAAAGTCGGAGAGAGGTTTTCACCCATAGATATTGATGTGGTGGAGAAGGAGAAAACCCATCATAACGATGTCTATAAGGAGGGGAGCGGTGCCACATATAATCACAGGACATTATACATGCATGAATATATGAATATATGTTGCTGCATTACTCTAGCTACCAAGTCAGCTCAAAGCATAAATGGATTGAAGCCTCGCTCATTTTGGAGATAAGAATTTGAGCGGCAGAATATCATGTCGAGATGAGTGGGTGAGATACTTTTTTTGACGTTGGTATCTCATCATTGAAGTATATACCCTCATATGTCCCTTCCTTTTCCTTTCGTGAGGTATATGTCGGATATGCACCTTTTTATATATGTATCTTTTACAGAATTGATCTATCTACTGCAGAATCTTATCTATTTTAGCCTTACATGCAACATAAACTTACTCTTCTGAGAAAGTCGATTTACAACACGTGCACTTATCCTTTGTATATCATCTAAATACAATCCATTCTAAAATATATAGCTATCTTATATATCTAGTCATAGCCATAAATATATAGCTATGTTTTCGGAGCCATTGTTTCACTTATTCGCGGGATAAGCAAAACGACATATTTGTAAAAGAAAAATAATTTGTGAATAAAATTTTTATATACATGTTCCTAGTGATCTAAAAGCAAAAGCTGAAAAATAAATTTTGATGAAAAAAAATCTCAAAATCAGCTCCAAATTTAAAGTTGAAAATTCAATTTTGGCTAATAATAAGCATAATCATAAGTGAAAAAATGAGGCCCAAGAGAGGGAGGGTGAAGTAGTCATTAAAAATTCTAGAACAAAAATAATAACATAGTGATTACAACGTTATAATGTTATATGCTAAACTATGTTTTTTATGTTATATTTATCCATATATAACTCACTCTGTATGTAAAAAAAATAGACATAGTAATAAGAGAAAATAACCCCTATTTTCTCTGTCTTAAAATGTAATAGTAGCTATTTCTATCTACAGAACATGCACTTATCCATATCCACATCCAGAAATAACTACATTTCGAGGCTAAGGGAGTATAAAAAACCACTTCTCATTAACATATTTAACTGGGACAGATTGGGAGTAAAAAGTTAAATTAAATGCGTCTTAGTCTCTTAATAATTGAATCAGATATCTTGAATCATATATTCGATCCTTCTAAATTGTGCTATATCCATATCAAATAGAGAATATATCTCTACTATTATAAAAATTGAAGATGTTTTTACCGGTACTTTGATACGTCATACAATCCGTGTATGAGTCGGTTTTCAAATTTGTTCATTTTTAGAAATAAAAATCCATACATATTTGAGTCGGATTCTTATAATTCCGTTCGCTTTTAGAAGTACAAAATGAGTCGTATAAGAAATATCTTTAAAAAAACTCGCATATTAACTTGACATGATATTTTAGAAAAAAATATATATCCAAATGAATTCTCACAGTGAATTTCACGTTGAACAATAAAATAGCCTTCACCCATTGCAACGCACGGATATTTTTTCTAATGACTATATAAAGATAAAAATGATGCTCCGTTCATCCCATTTAAGTGCGGTTGTAGATTTCTGTGTCTAACGTTTCATTGTTCATTTTATTTGAAATTCTTTTATGATTAATATTTTATTATTATTAGATGATAAAACATGAATAGTAATTTATAGACGCGACTTAATTTTTTTTTCATAAACTTTTTAAATAAGATGGACGATCAAATGTTGGACATATAAACACACAATTTCATTTAAAATGAGACGGAGGGAGTATATACGATGTTCCATGCATGTACCACGTGGAGCATCGCACCACACGCATGAATGATATATGTTTTAATTTATTATTATACGGACACACATCGATCTTACATAAAAATACCTGTTTGTATGTGTCTATATATATATATATATATACATATATATATATATATATATATATATATATATATATATATATATATATATATATATATATATATATATATGATCCATTTCGTTTACTACATCACATAATTAACCTATAAGTGTATGTATAACAGTACATATATCGCACACCACATCCTCTCACTATATATAAACTACACCAAGCACAACAGGGATAATATTGCAGCTAGCTCTAGCTACAAATTAAACTTAAAGCATGCAGCATATACATATAGATATATAAGTACATATATATATCATCATATGCTACGTTTTTATTCGATCGTTGACCACATTGATCTATATAATATAGATACTGCATGCAAATTATAAATGCATGTAATATAGCTAATTAAGCTATAGAGCTTGATTAATTAGGCTTGGCGGCGGCGGGAGGTGTAAGGTCCGGTGAACCTCCGGCCGCCGGAGCCGGCCTGGCGCTGGCAGTTGAAGTAGACGGCGGCGACGGGCGCGCCGAGGTTGTAGCGGCGGGCGAAGGCGCGGGTGGTGAAGTTGTGGCGCACCGCCGGCGCGTACACCGTCTCCCTCCCCAGCTGCCGGAACAGCACCAGCACCATCCTGTGGATCCCCGTCGTCGGGTTCGGGCTCTCGTAGCACACCACCTCCCTCCCTGCATCCGTATCGCAAAGCAACCGCGCCTCTCAGATCATATATATCGCCAATTCATTAAATATTTTATATATAACGTTGGTCAGTTTATTTTAACCTGACCAACAGAGAAAGTATATATTATACTATTCGAATCTCGATCTCATGTCTCATCGATCTATAAATCTAGTGTTAAGTAGAGATTGCATATTGTACGTACCATATGTAGCATCGGTTGAAGCCGGGATGTCAGTCACCATCCTGCAAATACACGCATGGACATATATCGATAAGTAGCTAGTTAGCACATAGATCCATATATAGAGTTCCATATATGTACATATTGATCGATCCCGATACATATGATCTAGCTGTACTGCATCACGGATCGATCGATCGATCGATCGATTTATGTATGTATTGTGTGGTTCGAGATGAACTAACGCACACACCGATCGACCACGTGGACACAACGCATGCGTGTACATCCATGACATGGCGCACATTTGTACGGTAGCTGATCGACGTACACGCGTGCAGCATGCATTGTTACAAGTGTATATTTGGTCCCTAGCTATCTATACTATACACAATTACCCACAGTTTTTTCTGCATGCAAGTTGCAAGCTGCATTTGCACCGTTTGTTGCGCACACAGGGGGGCTGTAAGTGGGTCAGCCGCGAACCCACTTATAGGTTAAAATAAGTGGCTTATTTTAGCCTATAAGTGGGTTTAGCGGGTTAGCCACTTATACCGCGCATGCGTATGCACGTGCGTGCAAAATGATCGGTTTAATTTATTTTATGGAATGTAAAAAAATTGACACTAATTAAATTGATTGATAATTAACTGAGATCGATGTAGCTAGCTATAGCTACTATATAGTGCTCACCAGTGGAGGTATTCCCTCAGAGTTGGATTGCTAGGGTTAGGTGCATCAGGATCAACCATCACCTACAACATAGATGGGTATTCACACAGTTAGCATAAATCCACGCATGAACTGATGAACATATATATTATATGCATATATATGATCAGGTGGTGCCAATTCGGTAGGTAACATAATTAATTAACGCGCAAAAGCTTTATACGCCAATGTATTAACACTAAAATTGTATAAAGATGGCACGAAAATAGTACCAGAGTATATGCGACGCGAAGATCGTCTCCCCCGACTTCGACCACCGGTTTCTCCGCGACCGCCGGTGCGCGAAGCTCCACGCCGCTTATGACCGGCATGCCATCATCACCATACATGACGGTGAGATCGACGGTGCTGATGAAGGGATCCAGGACATCTCCGATCACACGCCCTGTAGCCAATGAATCGTTGGCCATTTCTGACGATTTGCTTAATTGGATCGAATTGCTAGCTAGCTATATTGTGCTGGGGATTGAGCTAGACAGCAGTGAGAACAAATACTGCGAGCTACAGGAGCTTGCAGCTGGTATATATGCTGTATATGTTTTTTGGGTGTGTGTTGTCGTCGGCGATGGCTAGCTGTGTAGATAGAATTGGTTTGTGTTGTGTTGGGACAAAAGCTACAAGGGTTGCGTGCTATTTATAGGGTACAAACTGCCGACCTTGCACATCACACATTCGCATGCATCGTTCTCCGGCCGGCGCTTCGGTGACAAATTCTCCTAGATTTTGACAGGTCTGACAAATTTATTTCTAGCGTGTCTTTAATTTGATTTCCTAGGACGGCAGATGTATGTTCAACTACATATTTGATGTAGAGACTCGATTCAATTGTGTTTGTTTTTAAGAAAACAAAATATGTATGTCAAAATATATCTCTACTATTATAAAAATTAAAGATGTTTTTGCCGGTATTTTGATACGTTATTCATGTTTGAGCCGGTTTTTAAGTTCATTCGCTTTTGAAATTACATATTTGTATTTGGGTAGGTTTTTAAATTCGTTTGCTTTTGAAAATATAGAAAGAGTCGTATAAGAATTCTCTTTAAAGAACTCGCATGCTAACTTGAGACAATCGGACTCCTAATTATTGTAGCTCATGATCTTGTAAAAACAATATTCAAGTAAATTCCTATAGTGAATTTCAGTTTAGCTAAATCGTATAACAATAATAAGATTAAGGCTGTGTTCGCTCCAACCGGTTCCTGACCCAAACAGTACGCACGGAAACAGAACGGTCCATTAGCACGTGATTAATTAAGTATTTTCTTTTTTTTTTCAAAAATGGATCAATATGATTTTTAAGCAACTTCCGTAGAGATTTTTTTTTTCAAAAAACGCACCGTTTAGCTATTTGAAAAGCGCGCGGACGGAAAACGAGAGCAGGGAGTTGTGAACCAGCTCTTGCGAACAGAGCCTAAGCCCTAAGATATATAGCCTTCACCCATTGCAACGCACGTGTATTTTTTTTAAGTATATCTTCATATATAGAGACTGGATTCATCTCGATTCTATCATTGAAAAAGAATTGAGGCATGCGTACACAGGTCGTAAGCATTTCTCTTTTCCTTTTTAACTTGAAAGGAATTTCTTTTTCCTTTTCTAACAATTGGAATGAAATATGGATAAAGCTACATACGCATCTCTAGCGTGTGTGCTGTGCGTGTGTCTGTTAATTTGTATGTGACAGCACATCCTTTTTGCCATGTGTGTGATTTCAATAGGCTTATGGATCAACTTTTTTTTTTCAAAAAAAAAGAAGGGAAAGCTTAGAATCTTTGAGACTTGAGAGCGCCCTGGAGATCACTGCTGGTACGTATTCTTGGCCTTTTTCGGGTCAAATATTCTCTCCTTCACTATTGGCTTATTGGTTTTCACCTTTTTTTTTTTTAGCTTGGCCCGGAATGGATAGGCCGACCTACAGATGTGCACCCATTTTTATTAACCAAGGTTGAAGCCATACAATATTGCTGTTGAGTTCACTGAATTTTTAGGAGTCACACTATACTAATATCAATATGATCTACATTTTAATTTGACAATGATTTTATTTGGGCGTCCAACATGATCCATGCGATTGGATACCCTGAAGCACCACTCCACTTTGTGTTCTACCCTTATCTGCACCTCGTTCTTAGGCTGATCCATACATACCCCTTGCCCTTCTCCCCCTTCTTCCTTCCTCTCTTCCCCTGGGTTTGGCAAACGTACTCTAGCTAAGGGCATGTTCTTTTTTTATTATCATTGTCAGATTATCGCGTTCATGCATGCTTTTCAAGTTTCTAAACGGTATGATTAATGCAAAACTTTCTTCATTAGTATGTCTTATTAGTGAACTCTTTTAAATCAACTTATCATATTTCTAATATTTAATTCGTTCGCTTGTGTCCTCGAATAATTATCATAAATTTAGTTTCATCCATTACTATGATGGCAATGACTTAGGGACCGTTTGAAAGTGCTAATGGGCCCTAAGTCATATTGCTTATCCTACAAGCTATAATTATTCTGCAATTTGCCTCATGCTGGTCCTTGTCAACAATGCAAACCCTTCTCTCTCTCTCTCTCTCTCTCTCACACACACACACACACACACCCCGATCGAGGTACATCTCGTTGGGTGTCCGCATTTGAGTTATTAGCTCGAGAGGACGAGGAGATCATCTGCAAGGGAGGAGATGCCACCATTGGAGTGGGGATCTAGCTAGATGGTTAATTGGGGACTCTGCTTGATCCATTTGGTGCTAATTAGAGCAAGGCTAATATTATAGCCTATTGCCGGCTACACTTCATTCTATAGCTAATGCTGAAGCCAACTACTCATACAATAGGTTGCTTGTTGGCTAGCTACATCTCATAAATAAAATAATTAATTATAACTAGCACATGTCAATGTGTATGATCAAGAGTGAAGTGGATCATTATTGTAGCCAATTTTGTTTTGACATTAACATTTGTATGCTACAGAAGTAATCACAAAACACCACATAGTTCACACACTTTTCTAAGGACCAGTAGAGCTCACGATGGCCTAAGGAGCTAGTGCTACCTCCCTCTTCGTCCGGTGAGACATGGTGTTGGTGGTGGGGAACTATGGTTTTAGGCAGGAATTTCTCACGGGGGCGGGAGAGATTATTCAAGGTGGAAGAGGAGCAGGGCTGTGGTCGAGGTGGCCAGCGGAAGAAGGAGATCGGAAGCGGCGAAATATTGCGATGGGGAATTTTGGAGCGACTGGATTTTTTTTGTCATATATATAGGTAGTTTCGCGAGTGCGGGAGGGAGAGGTGGAGAAGCGCAGGAGCTGCGTCAGAGAGAGGGGAGGAGAAGCACAGGAGCCGGAGGGGGACATTGCACTGTCGGAAGAGAAATCGTCACGGTGGTCTCGCGCGTTGAGAATCAATGGGGCGGAGGCGATCGAGAGGAAGGGGATCGGGAGGGGAGGGCGATGCAGATGGGGAGGGCAATGTGGAGGGGTAGTATGATCCACTGTGGTTGCACAGGCCCCACAATGTGTGTTTTTAATCGCCGGGAGCAGCTGCAAGCGAGCGATACCAACTAAAAAATCTCTATCGCCGGGCTACAAATTAGTCAGTCGTTTTCTTCTATCCCTCTTCTCTTCTCTCCCCTCTACACAGGAATATGATGATGTGGCATAGTTTTGCAACTCATTATTTTACCTGCTCTTAATGACATTGATGTATAGAGCGTAGTTCTAGCAGGAGGAGGAATTCATTAGAAGGCGCCAATAGGTACTTGTATATTTTTTATGATTTTTTTTGCGATCATTTTCTTTATTTTGTTCCATATTCGAATGTATGGCAACCAACCAATTGTTTTTAGAGATGTTGCACAACTTTATTTTTCAATTAATGTACAAATTTCTAACATTTTAACTTAATTTATTAAATTATTCTAATTTCACAAAAATATAAATTATCCTAACTAAATTGTTCTTTTATTGATGTGGGGATTTTCAAAGGAGCCTCTAATTAATAGTACTAGTTTGATACCCCGCGCGTTGCTGCGAGATTTTATGGTGATGATAAACAACTTTGTAAATATGTGCTTACAAACATAATTGAAGAATTGAAATATCAAAAATAAACATTCTAAAATAATAAAGTGTAAAGTTGGCATTTGAGTAGTAGATGGTTAACGGATATAGCAGTGGCTTAATATGGTGGATGGATGCAATGTATGACCAGGAGCACTTAAGTGGGTCATCCATTGATGTGCCTAATTACCCATGGCAGTTTCCTTACTTAAAGCATGCACAGTTAAACAAACAAAGATGCATTTGATCCGACGGCTATTGATTATCGATGATATGGCTTAACCTGGATGCTTCTTTATAGTGTTAATGCTTGTAGTGGATACCAACTATATAGGAAAAGAGAATGCATATAAATTGTGCATCACCAGCATGCTGAGATCATGTGCAAACCTGATGTACTTTTGAAAGGGAGAGGATCATATACCTATTAATTATAATTTTTTCTCTTGTTATTTGTAAAATTTCTGATACAATATGATATGATGGGACAAATCATCGATGTTAACTAGATAGCGTCCCGTGTGTTGCGGTAATAGGGTATTGAGATGTGAACATAGCATTTTCCAAATTACAATACACATAGTCTTATAGAGATATGCCTAATCAAAAGCAAAAATAAAATAAAATCAATGGGCCATCAATCCAAATTAGTGAAAGGTCACGAGTGATACGGGTGGTTTTCTGTGGCAGCTATTTATAATTAATAATTAATAATTAATGTGGGTTTCAACTATATATATTGTATACTAGTTGATATCCTACACTTTGCTACGGGATATGTGGAATAATGCATGTTACGGGCCCCTTTGAATCGCAGGGTTGAAAAAATGGAGGAATAGGAAAAATACAGGATTCTGATAGGAATTGAAGTGTAAAACAGAGAATTGCAAAACACAGGAAAAACACAGGAATGGTCGTTTGATTGGAGCGCAGGAAAAACGCAGGAATCGGATGAGAGAGATAGACTCAAAGGGAATTTTCCAAAAGGTTAGAGCTCTTGCTATATTTCCTCCAAAATCCACATACAATGTGCCATTCCATAGGAATTTCATAGGATTTGGAAAACTTCCTATAGGATTTGAATCCTATGAAATTCCTAGATAAATCTTTTGATTCAAAGGGGCCCGACACATTATATAAATGGTAGATGTATATGTTTAAATAATGTGAAAATGATATGGAGATAATGATTTGACATTGCTTGCATATTGAGTTCTAAAAATACAACAAAATTGTAAATGATATGTCATGTTAGCATGATATTTAAAATACTCTAGATAATAATTACTAGTGAGTGATGATGTGACACACTTGCATGTTAAGTTTTAGTAGTTAGTGGGCATCAACTTTATAGTAAAATAGGATTTGAAATAATTAACTATTTGCCACTCTTACGAGTGGTTCTAGAGGATTTGCCACTAGACCCACATGTAATAGATACACGAGGGCCCACATGTCATAGATACATGAGGGCCTACATGTCATAGATAGCGAATGGCAAATCCTTAATTGACACATCTTA